CTCACGGCTTTGGTTTCTTTCAGGAGTCTGTCCCAAAATACAATTTTGATTGTTCAGTTTACATGTCTTTCTCATACAAAAAGATACATTTAAACGTTTTCAGCTCCGATTATCTTTTTGCCATTTTTTAAAACTTCTACACTTTTGTTATTCTTTATATTGGCAAACATGTGTTTGGTACTTACTTTCAAATGGATGTCCACAAATTTTGAGCAAGTGACTCACTTTCTAATTTGTCGAGTAAGATACAACCATTTTTTACTTGATAGAAATATGGTCGAGTTTTGTTTAATTGGCTTTGTTAAATTGAAAAATTTTTACCAATTTGAGCTTTGACATCTTCTGATAATTTGAGTTCCTTTTTCTTAATTTTTAATTTACAGATTTTCTCTTTCAAATTGTCATTTTCTTCATTCGGCGTGTTAACAATCGTTGACCTCTTCACAATATAATCTTAACATCAGCTTTTTTAATTCCACAAAAGCGCCACTATTTTCCAACAACCGTAACGGTAGCACATTAAGTAACAATTAATGTGTTCTGTTATATGTGTTATTAAAGTTTTTCTTTTATATCTTATGTTTCGTATTTTTTCAATTGTTTTGACTTAATCAAGTTGTTTTATTAAAATTGATTGATAATTTTTTATAATCCAATAATTTTTGTTTGTTAATTTTTACTCTAAAATATCTTTTTGTTTATAAACGGAATAATAATTATAAAATGTTTATAGAATGTTTATTAGTTTGATGAGAAATCCAATGAATTTTGTTTTACAATTTGTATAAAACAGATAAAACAGTTTTAATGTATATTGATATATTTGATAATCGAAACTTACTTTCAGTGATATTTAATAAACTATGTTTTATTGTTATATTAATAATATTTGCGAAATATTAAACAATTTAATAATTAATCAAAACTCGAATTATTATTCAACTAAAAAACTTGACAAAATAATGTAGAAATAATTTTACATTTCGAGGATACAGTATTTAACAATCAAATCTTTTTATAACAATGTTCAGTTAAAACAAATTTAACATTATAAATAATTATTTTATTAATTGATGTTAATAATTGTTATTAACTTCAATTTTTAACTTAAGTAAAATTTCATATTTTTAAATATTATTTATTAGTTAATATATAATAATTCAACATTTTTTTTATCTTAAATATTTGTTAAAAAATTTATTGA